GACATGTTATTTGCAATTTTTATACTCATAGGTTTCCTAAAGTACTACTAGTTTTTATGTGCTGTTGCCAACTGCAAACTTTAAGGCACATGTAATTTAAAATACACTAGAACGGAATCAAAAAAAAAAACCCCACTGAAGTAGGTGAATAAACAGCTGTTCTTGAATCCAGCAATGTCTAGGCTGGCCTCTTAGAGATGGGCCTCAAATAGAGTAGACTGATAATTTGGCAGTTTGTGTAGTTTTTATTTGGTCTTTCATTATGGCAAGAATTTTAAAAAAAAAACAAACAAAAAACATTGTTCCCCTACAGAAAACAATAATGAACAGTGGAAATCCAGCTGGGAGAGCAGAGAAATTTTGAATGCTGACCAGATGTTTGATCAGATTACTTAAACTAGAGCAGTTGATTTCAGTAGATCTTCTCACGTTTACGTGGTTGTTGTTTCTGCACCATACTTCAGTTGTTTATGATTTCTGCATATTTTATATTAAGAGTCACTGGCCAGAATGCTTGTGCCATAGCACACATTAATGACTTTATTAGGGTATTTTTAGAAAAATAAATTTAGAATGATGAACCTACTTACTTTATCTACCACAGAAACTAAAAGTTAGACTGACTTCTCTGGTGGACAAAAACAATTTTGCATCACACCTTTGTGAGCAAGACAGATCTAGTCTCAAATATTCCTGTATGAACTACCAAAGATATTTATCTACAGAAATTAGACAGCTGAGCTGGAAGTTGCTGTGAAATGAAGAGCAAAGCACGGCCATGAAAAGATAGAGGGAAATCAGCTATCAGCAGCTTGTGCTCACATCAAAACCCAGTACATCACATGTGTGGTCCCCAGAACCAGTGGAACAACCATGTTCTTCCTTGCCTTTGTATTGCAAGGGTGCGCTAATATTTCTAATTTTCTACTATGTGAGCAAGTAAGCCAAACCCAATCTTGACTGCCATGCTTGTCAGGCAGATTCTCAGGCCCAGCCCTCCTTTCGACCAGCTTTCCCTGTCAGCATCATCAAACCACATCCCCTCCCTAGTCAAGTCCCATGACACAGGGGATCTAGTAACTCTGGGTTTGAATCAGCTGTTTCTGGCTTCAGCTTAACTGTCAGACTTCCAGGACTTTGCCCTTTATTTGCTTTTCCTCTTATTATGGAGTATTTCAGTCAGTAAAATTAAAAGAAAGCAGCTGACCTAGGCAGGAAGAGAAAGACAGTAAGGCAGCACTTGCTCCAGAGAGTTCCCAGTCTATATATAGAAAAGAAGACAGAACAATCCAGGGACTAAATAAATTGAAAAGGCAGAATTATGACATAGTCAATGTCAAGATTTGTGTAGGTGTGTCAGCAAAAAAATGATGTTAAGGAAAGAAAGTTTTATGGATGCTTACAGGAAGCAGCTCCTGTTACATGGGCTAGCTTGGGTAAAGTCCAAAGAGATTTCATTGAAAACATGTCAGTGGAAGTTGTAATCATGGTCTGTGCATGAGAGGGGAAAAACAGGCCATGCAGCAATAATGAAGAACACAGGGAAGTGAAGACAGAAGGTATGTGCAGTAGGGAAGGGACCATGAAAGATTTACAGTAACAGAGGTGTCAGAGAGACAAGGTAGGAAAATGCTCTTTACAGCAGAACGCTGGAGGGGTACAAGCGCAGGAGCCTGAATTTGTCATGGGCTGTGAAAAGATATTGAAAAATGGGATAGGAGTTTTAGCTGTGTGAATGGTTAAGAAAAAACCTTTGGGATGATGAGAGGAGAGAGGAAGAAGGGGAAAAAAATGAAAACAAAACAAATCCCCAGAATCCTCTAGATTAAGACATAGCCCAACTGACTCTACTGGCCTGGAGAGGAGGTTCCATGACAAAAACGGTCTCCAGTTTGTCTCAGCTTTTAGGCCTGAATATCTGATGCAGTGCCAGTGTTGTCCAGAGCAATCAATAACAGGAATAAAAGGGAGTGCTTTAGGGGAAAGCTTTAAGAGCGAGCTCTGTTTTAGCTGTGCTGAGCTGACAGCTGGACACTGAAAGGATATCGGAGCTAGAGGTCAAAATTTTAGTCCGGTTGGAAAAGCAGCTAGAGCGAGTGAGATCCGTGAAGCATCAGCACAGAAGTGAGTGTAGAACATGTATAAATGATACACACAGAGAAGGGGGAAAAAATCATAGTGGAGGGAAAAAAAAGAAGGCTCCCCCACAGAAACCTGGGATGGAGGGAATGAGGCAGAAGGGTATGCTAGAAGAGTGATCAGGAAAGTCACAGGAGGAGATGGGAGCCAAGGGGAGGATGTCCAGGCATGTGATTGAATGCGCCCGAGGCAGCTGACGGGCCAGTGTGGATGGGGTGGAGAGGCGATTTCGGCAGAAGCGAAGCCTGGGCAGAGCACAGCGCGTGCCACCGGGCTCCGTGTGGCCGGCGAGAAGGGGGCTGGGAGGTCACAGTCCCAAGACCCAACGCACGTGTCTGTTGTGCAAGAGGCGCTGGCCTTCGGCAGAGAAAAAGCTAGCACAGGGGGAAACATACTGAAAATTAAAGCTGAACTAACAAGTACTAATATACAGTTTACTCAGGAAAGGCAAGGTGTGTGGGGGGTGAGACAGGGTACTAACGTTCGTTATAGCTGTTAATATCATGTAAAATATACACGCTTTTCTTCAGGTCTGCCAGATAAATCAACGTATGTAGCCTTTTGTTTACAAGCTGTGGGTGAACCAGTCATTACTTCCCCAAATTTGTGTGGTATTTATAAATTTTGTACTGATGATAGTTTCCTCTGGTGAAGCTTCAGCCTATAGATTATACAGAAACTCAATGCTACAGCTGCTGTTTGTTCATCATATACAAGTGATCCTCCTTAGCAAGGGGACCTCCACGGATCGCTGACAGAGTAGCTTTGCTGAGTCAAAAACTAGCATTATTTCCTTTGTGTCAGGCTTGAACACATGCCCCTTAATGGGACTAAGCGTCATTGCTACTTGGAAATGCTATTTTGCAGCTGTCCTGTGGGATCGAAGTCCTGAACTTTTGCTTTTTGTTGCCCCAGGAAATCAAGTTGCCTATGAGAAGTTAGTCCTAGCTGGAATCCCTATTCCAAATGTGGAATCCCTATTCCAAATGTGGACAGACTTTGGCAGCCATGCTCACAAAGTTCCTCTACGTATTTGTATATTCCTCTGTGTGTGTGTTTTCCTTAAATAGCATGCTACTTTCCCCAGGTCAAGCAGTTTTGGACTGGAAATTATTTAGAAAGCTCAAGGACATGGATGTTGCTGGGTAGCAAGACATTTCAGGAGAGCGTACCTTTTGCTAATTAAAAGCTGCTTTTGTTTCAATGGCTACCAGGTTACCCTCACTTTGAGCTGTGCCATTGGCTTTTTTTCAAGCTTGATGACCTGATGACCGCCGTGATGGAGCGCATTCAGTTTCAGGCAAAGTCCTCGCAAATAATAGCAATGCCATCATGAACTGAAAACTTATGTGGAAAGTGTCTGGGCCAGCTAAACAAAACCTTGCAGGAAGGTTATACACAAAGCTGTATACTCAGCTAATGGCTAAGCCCCATCCATCGGTCCCTCTATGGATTCTTGTGCTTGCTTAGTTTTCGGCACTTACCTTCGTTAACAGCATTGAGGTCATGCTGGAGGGGAAGAGCAAGCTGCTGCGCGTGGTCCAGGTGCTGGCCTTGTGCCATTGCCTACCAGGATAGGCCCCTAGGTGGAAGAATGTAACATTGAAGTGATCTCAAATAATACGAAAATAATAACAACAGAGTAAAATAAATATTATTAAGGTTATGTTAAACTTGATTCACAGAAAAAGAAAAGTAGCTAACTTAAAAAAAAAAAAGCAAATAATAGCATAAGCTCACCTTTAATGACGACCATTGTGTTACTGTGCCTGTTGCACGTCTATCTTTGGCGTTGTGACAAAATTAGAGGCGCTTCATCATTTAAGAGTACAACTGTGATATGTATTAGACAAACATGTTTCTTGAATGCGTCTCTGTTTTGACGTGCGTGTTTGACTTGCATCTTTGTGTTTTGGCACTGCAGTTGTCGCCCCGTTGGGGGGGGGGGGTCAAGGGCCCTGTACCAGCATGGTCCTTTTGGTGCCCCAACACCGTAAGGTCAGGACTTGAGCTACACGGGGCCAGGTCAGCACCAAACCCACACGAGCACTTTGCCGATCTCCAAATAGCGCTATGTTTTGCTAATTTTAGCCTTGCCGTTCCTTTATGTTTTTTATTGTGACGCTGAACGGTTACAGTTTAGCGAGTGCCAAGTAAAATTGGAGGAAAGGAGCCCATTAACTACAAACGATGTTAGGGCAGCTCCTAATCGCCTCTGCTCTCTTGAGTTTCTCTGCTGCCTTTGTATTATGAGGGTGTCCCTCAGAAAGGGGAAGACTCAAAGGTATGGCACCTCCACGTCTGTCTTTCTTTTTTCTTTTTTTAAGGCTAGATAGTGAAGGTAAGATTTTTATTTTCCTATTAACATTAATAGGCTATGCCAGCTGTTGTAGCCCATGCTCTAGCCACAAACTACGAGGCATTAATGGACTATGATATTTAAACGCAGATAGATAGTGTCTGCTTGCTCTGTCGTCGCTATTCAGCGCGTGCGCCAGCTGAGGAGCGACTCGCGGGCGTTTTTTTAACATGTCCCCTCGCCCCAGCGTAAGTGACGGAGAGGCGACGTGGCTCCTGGCCCCAACCTTGTGCCTAGCCCTCTGCGCTGTCTCCTCTGGACTCGCACCGCAAAGGGCGCTGAATGCCCCCCCGGGGTGCCATTTTGGGGTTTCTTCCCGCAGGTGCCCGTCTGCGCAAATAATTGCGTCAGGACCTGGCTGAACCACGCTGCGTTGCTGAGTAACACGCACCCGCTCAAGCAGCAACGTGGGTAGAGAGCGAGGGCAGAGGAGACAAAAATAAATAAATAAAAGACACTGTGATCTGCGTAGTAATAACGACACGCGTTTCCCACCGTTTAGGTCTGTAAGGACTCCTGACATTTGAAGCTGTCCTACCGAGTTGCCATGGCAACGAGAAAAGGAAACCGCCAGATTGGAAGATTGCAGTTTACAGTTACTGTTCTTCACTACTAGGCCGCAGTTGCTCCAGATCCAGTTTAATTTGCAACCTCACTTTAATCTGTCCGACTATCCATCGGTGTTTGACAGCTTCTGCCCTTACTTTCATTTATTAATGGATTTCTCTTACAAGACGCAAGGCTGATGAAAGTTTTCACTGGGTGTTAAAAGACCATGCCATCTAAACCCGATCGTGGGGGAGCAGAAAACAGAATGACTCCATTTTTCTTTTGTTTTTTTTTTTTTTTTTCTATCTGTTTGACTTGTTGCTATTCAACTGTTCAGAAAATATTTTGTCTGTGGGTTGGTATTTGTATATGTATGAGTGTATGTATATATATATATATTTATATAGAGAGAGAAGTTATACGACAGGTTTAGCTTCCTGAAAGCGTCCAGCTGGAGCACGGCCGGGGGGCCCCGGGGCTCGTGGCCGACGGGGAGGTCGTTCCTCAACGCCCAGCAGAAGCGTTGCGCGGCGCTCCGGTTTGCCGCAAAGCAGGCGGCCAGCGCGGGCTGGGTTGTTGTTATTATTTTTTTAAAACAACGGACATGCTGGGCCTGATTTTATTTCATTTTTGGTAAAGGGGCTGAAGCCAGCATCCTCCGTGCTCCTTGCCGAAGCACCCTCTCTCTCTCTCAGCCTCTGTGCAGCTATCATTACATGCATAAGTGCAAGGAGGGAAAACAGCTGCCCTGTTATATGAATATATTCAGACACATTATATATACATATATATATTTTGTTTTGAATATATATATATATATAGAATACATACATACACATGTACACACAGTTTCCAGTTAAGAGTAACAAGAGCATTTCCTTGTGTGTGTAAGGTTACCACACTTGTTTGCAGACATGGGGGGGGGCGGGGGGGGAAGGGGTGTTCGTTACACATGAATATGAATCCTTTTTTTTAATTCTGTGAGCATGCAAGGCGAAGAAAACCTTCTAACTGTATCGAGATGATCATCTTGTTAATAAATTGTAAATGATCCATCAGCGCTCACACCAAATTTTTATAAAATTAACACAGAAAGTATACTAGTGACAGACTGTGGCTTTTATTAGAGCTTGCCAGTAACTAGGGTAAGGTAAGTGTCTTAGAATATTTTAATAAAATTGCTTATTTAAAGTTGAAACAAGAAAGCTTCCTTATGCAATAGAACTTTGCAGCTGCATTCTTTAGTTAGCATTTTTACAGTACTTACTTAAGAGTCATACTGTATGTTGTCTTTACTACAGTGAGATTACGAGCATATCTTCCACATCACATATATGTTTCAATAGTAGAGCTTTTTGGAAGCATTTAAAAAAAAATAAATCTGAACATACATTTAGTTTTCCATAGTGCTACACTAGATATTAAATGTGTGTTGGTGGTTAAAAATTGCTGTACAATAGCTTTTCTCTTCCTGTATTGTACCAATTATGACAACAGGTCCTTTTTTTAATCAAAAGGAATAACAACAACAATGGTGACAAAGGTTTAAAAAAAAAAAATTGTTGAGAACTTTCCTAATTTTGTAGCTTTCTTAGTAAGATATAAGCTGCCTTGATACCTATTTTTCTCTTCCAGCTTAGCTCCTGCAGCCCTGACCAAGTGAAATCTCCCAAGGACCTTGATCTGCTCACAGCTTGCTCAAGGTGTTTGAATTGCCCAAGTGGTACGTGGAGGTTAGTGGCGGTTTCAGCTGAGCAGGGGCTGCAGGAGCGGGCTGCTAGGCAGCCACAGGCATTCAAGTGGGAAGTGCCTGGTCGCAAACATTAACATGGGCATGCTTCTAGTTCTCTTGCTCTGCCCTACACCTTGTAATTGTCACATGCTGCTGCTGCTTTATCATCAACAATCATGTGTTTTGAAGAATAGTTTCCATGCAAAGTTCGCTAAAGCAAAAAAAAATCAACAAAGGCTTAACAGCATAAATATTTAATGAACACAGCCAAATGCACCCAAAGATGAATTGCACCTATGCTCTACCTTGAATAAAAGAAATGACCACATCCTCCCACATAAATAGTGATCGTCTCCTTGCCTTCTTCCTCCATCTAGTCAATCTCTGGAAAGACAGCACTGATATGAGTGCCACTTGTATCAAGTACCCCATAAAGCTGCCCTTTGCCAGTTTAAATCAAGGCTCACATTGCATTTGGTGGGTCATTCCACGGGCAGCCACAAAATTCCTGCAATAACAGCGGGAAGGCCAGCTTCCTACCCGTTTGTGTCCAAGACAAGAGATCACTCTTTTGACACATAGAAGGGTCAATATGATGGTTGAAACTGAACCAAGACATATCAAAGCCTTCATTCACCTTTATCACTTTATTTCCACAGCCAAATTAAAGCCTCCCAGCTATTATTACATGTCTCGCTAGCTTCAGGCTGAGCTAATCACTGAACCGTGTGAGCATACATAGAAAAAAAAAATGAAGCTGCCATGTTAGTGTTTCTCCCTCTCTGTCCCTGAGAACGACCCCTTCCAACAAGAGACCGTGCCATGTCCCGTAACACTGTACAAGCGAGGAGTACATGGAGTTTTCTTACCCGGATAAGAGTGGCAGCTCAGGCTCAGAAAAAAACGGTGCCCCTTTCCTGAAACAAAGGAGCTACCATAATTTATTAGTCTTTCACAACATCATGAAAAAGCAGAGAAGATGATTACAGTTTTTTTAAAATAGTTAATTATGTTTAATGTTTGTTCAGCCATAGCTTGCTGTTTTTTATAACATAGCACTTATTTCTACCTAGCTTTTTTGCACTACAACATTTATTTCAGTCTATGTTTCTAGGCATATCATACTGTCTACAGTCAGAAAAGCAGTGAATTTTTTGATTTTTTTTTTCATTTTGTAACATGCATTAAACTTGCTAAAAAAAATCATTTCATTTGAAAACATATCTGCTCTTAAAACACAAACTGGGTATAACAATTAAGTTAGTTAATCACTAAGAGGAGTTTTATTAGCAAGGTAAAAGTATCATTGGTGGTGTACTTGCTAATTGAACGCCTGTCTGTACACCTCATGTGTGTGTGCTTGCAATATGCCTATGTGCATTTATTAATGTACATTTTGTTCAGTAACTGTAGGTCTGAGGATTAAAACAAAGAGAAACCAGCTGAATTTCCTAGTAGATATCAAGGAAAATTAGGTAACAGTGAAACACTGGCTAATACACTTGCTGAGCCCTATCTTCACCTCATTTGCACTGCTATGAATCAAAGAACAACTCCGCTACTGAAATTGTTTGAAATTCAGTCATATTTGGATGAAATTTTTCATTTAAACTTCCCACATATTGTTTTCACTGGTCTGCTGTGAACACTAAAGCAGCAACATTTGTCACAAGATTGTTGAGTACTTACTTATGTGTTACTGAAAGTCTGTCTTTTGTGGCATACAGAGAAAAACTACAGCCTAGATGCTGCCCGAAGATGACTCGCTTCCGTCACTGACCACTTTATCTTGTCTCTAAGGTACCTAGTACAATTCTGTTTAACCTTTATTTAAATGGCTGTGGCCTCTAGTCAAATAATTCTTCCTAGTCTCTTGTGTAGTCATTTAAGTTAGGGATAACTATAATACAAACTTCCTCTATTAAATTACGGACTTACCTTCAGTTCATAGGGATCTAGCTTAAATGTTTTATCATTATAAAAGGAAAAGACCTATGTTATAGTCACAACTTTTTCATCATTAGTCTTTCCTTCGTGTGACATTCTTTCTGAAACATTGAAAAATAGCCAATTTTCTTCTCAATTGCTACCAATGTACTTGAGACACGGCAGAATTTTGTACACAAATCATTTTACATCACCACTTGTCTAAAGGCCAAGTTTCTTTCTGAGTGGTTTAATAATGCCTCATTTAAAAAAAAAAAAAGGAACACAAGATAAGTGGCATTAAAGAGAGTCACATCAACTTGAGAATACCATGTCTAGGTCAAAACTCCATGATCCTCTCTTCCCCTTACTGTGTCTCTAGAAACTTCCTTGTCTGAGAGACACTGTCCAATGGTGACCAAAAAAAAAAAAGTCGGTTTTTTCTCTAATAACTCTGTGATCTATACTCTTCAGAGTTAACCTGCAAAGTACTTCAGTAGTAACTATTATTATAGATATTTTGTTTAAAGTAAATATATCTGACTATTTTACTGTGTAAAACACATAGCCCATTGCCTACACTATTTTATCTAACCAAGCATCAAGGTATTCTAGTTGATTTATATTTGTCCAAATGGAATGGAAACACTCATACATTCTCAGTGGAAAGTTACTACTTGCACAATTGCTATGTGTGTGTATATATGTAGATATATAGAGATATACACATACATATATAAATATATATATAATATATGCAGATGGAGGGAGACTAATACAACATGAGGACTTGGAATAAGCCGTTTAATTTCATGAATTACAGCTGAATACAGGAGTTAGGGAAAGTCATAAGTTGTGTGTGCCAAATCAATCTGATGATTAAGAGAAACAAACAAACAGCCCCAAGCTTATTCAAATTCTCATGTTGTATTTATGCTACCTTTAGCTGTCCCCTCTTAACACAATTTATATCATTTGAAGATATGCGTAATTGTTTACAGATTCATTTTTAGTCGTCTATGTATCAGCAGGTCATCAGTAGTAGAAGGGGAAGGGGGTATAGCCAGAATTCTGCATCGCTGCACTTTCAGCAGG